CCCCTCCTAAGATCCCCCCCCCACCCCCACTGCCCCCCCGGACCCCACCCCCTCCCCCTTCCCCGACCCCCCAAAACCTTATCCACACACACCCCAGAAAGCCCTCCCCCGAACTCCCGGATCCCCCCCGTCTCTTGACTGCCCCATCCAAAACCTCCCTGCCCCTTCTCCGACCCCCTGGCCCCCTTGTTGTTGGCCTTCGCCTAACGTCTCTGTGAGCCGTTCGTCCCGGAAGGCTGGCTGGCAGGGGAGGAAGAGCGAGGGAGGAGCTCCAGACTGCTGGTGCGAACTGCAGGAGGCGATCTGCAAATGCAGGGAGGGAGGGAGGGAGTGATCTCTGCTGCAGGGGAGGCGGAGGACGTGCTCTCTCTGGCTGTCGGAGCCCCATGTAAGTGACACCATCCGGCCGGCTGCCCTGTTAGCCGCGCACGCTCTGCATGGAGGCGGGGGGGAAGTCCGGATATTTACAAATTCCCCCCGGACGCTATTTTTAGCTCAAAAAGCCGGACATGTCCGGGGGAATCTGGACGAATGGTAACCCTAGCAGTCACCCAAGTCATTCAGGAGACATGACCTGCAAAAACTACAGGTCCCAGCACAGCAAGTCCCATCCTGGTGGATCATGGCATGCTGAGAACTGCAGTCTCTGAAAGCAGCAAAGCTGAATTTGGACCGCTCATTTTGGGCCTTCCAGAATTAGTTTTCATCCAACTATAAAGTGATTTAAAATTTTAAAGTTTTAAAAAGCTGTGCCCTCTGGTATTAAAGTCTGCTATCACTGTCCAACAAATCAGCTGCTTAGCGATATTATAAAGATCTACACCAGTGTTCCCCAAGATATGGAGGGCATCCTCCTGGGGGGAGGAGGGAGAGGAAGGACTAGCTGGGAGTGGGGGGGCACAGAAAGTATATACATTAACATGAGTAAGCCTTTAACAACACATTCCAGGGCAGCAGGGGTTGGTACGATTGGTTTTATTTTCCTGGACTGGAGCTCAGCTTCCAAAAGTTTGGGAAATACCACCTTAAATTATAAAGCAAATTATATAAAATACAAAAGCCGTGTTAAAATAACCTTCACTAGCATGGAGCAGAAACTTTCCCAAAGCACTGCAGTGAGCTCATACTGAACGTCTATCATAAAAAGGGGTTGAGGCCCCTTTGAAAACTTGGGTATAAAACTAGGGAAGTTTGCCTCTCCGCAACACAATTTTTCCAATTACCAAAATGCACTTAAGTCAATCAGAGTTCGAGGAGTGGTAGGAATGCAACACGGAGATTTCAGAGTGTAAAATGTTGCTACAACCTTCCAAACTCACTACTCTCGAGTTGTTTTCCCCACATGTGTTAAAGATCAAACTGCTGACATCTCCCCCTGTGCTGTGCAAATGGCGCTCAGAATAAAAGAGCAGCCCGATTGTGCGGGAAACGAGGGCTGGAAGCTGGAAACAATAATTGCTTGTCTCCGTTGCACATTCTCTGCAATCAAAATCCAAAAAGCAGGAGAGAGTTTGGGTGCAGAAGGGGTGAAAGGTTGGGCTCTGGGAGGGAGTTTGGGTGGGGGAAGGGGTCTGGGGTGCAGGCTCTGGGCTGGGACAAGGGGTGGGGGTGCAGGAAGAGGGGGTGGGGGTGCACACTCTGGGAGGGAGTTTGGGGGCTGGGAGAGTGTGGGGAGGGGGTGCAGGCTCTGAGAGGGAGTTTGGGGGCAGGAGGGGGTGTGTGTGAAGGGGGGTACAGGCTCTGGGAGGGAGTTCAGGAGCTGAGTGGTGTGGGGTGGAGGTATAGGCTCTGGGAAGGGGTCAGGGGGTGCAGCACTTACCTGGGGCTCCAAGGCGGGGCAGGGGGCCTCCGTGTGCTGCTGCCCCCAGGCACCGGCCCCACAGCTTCCCATTGGCTGTAGGGGCGCTCAGGGCGGGGGCAGCACACGAAGGCACAGCCCCGCACCGCCTTGGGGCCGGCAGACACATGGAGCGAGCAGGCAGATGCCGCTCAGCTCCGCTGAGCTGCCAGGGCCCAGGGCCCAGGGCCATTGTAAATCTCCTGGAAGGGGGGAGCGCCCGGGGCGGCAGGCAGGGCCAAGGGAGAGACCTGGCCCAAAAACTGCTGGAGGCCTGCGGGCCACATTGGGAAGGTTCACAGGCTGCAGATAGCCCGCGGGCCGGGAGTTTGAGACCCCTGATCTAGGGTGAGAAATACTATTTGTAATCAATTTCTTTAGTGAAACTAGCTTAATTTGTGTGTTTGATTTCATTTGATTAGTAATATGCTTTGTTCTGTTTGCTACCTCTTTTACCACTTAAAATCTGCCTTTTATAGTTAACAAAATTTGTTTTGTTTATTATTAAACCCAGTTAGGTAATTTCTAATTGGTGGGAGGGGGGTAAGAAGTGTGCACACCTTTCTCCACATTGAGGGAGGGGGCAAAATTCATAATATATCTTTGTGTCTGCAGTCCAAGGGAGGTGGACATCTGAGTGCTGGAGCAAGTCCCTTAAACTGAGTCTTCCTAGAGCTGATCTGCAGCTGGATTTGGCCCTGCCAGTGTGTGTGTAAGAGGAGGTTTTAAGAGCCTGGCTCTGCAAGACAGGTTAAAGGGGGCCCATGCTGGCAGAACAGGTAGACTCAGTGATATCTCAGCACCATCAGGTGGCTTCCCAAGGGGTCCAACCTGTCACAGTACCTTATACCCAAAAATATTTAAAAAATTCTCTGATCATCTCTCTGAACTATTAATATGGATTTTTAGCAAATGTTGGAACACTGGTAAAGAGCATAGGAAAAAAAATAATGTTGTACCAATATTTTAAAAGAGTAAATGGAATGACCCAGGAAACTACAGACCAGTTAATCTGACATCGGTCACAGGCAAAATCATGGAAAGGTTGATATGAGAGGCAATTAGTAAACAATTAAAAGATGGTAGCATAATTATTGCTCATCAACATAGTTTTATGGTCTTGTCTAACAATGTTTTTTGATGAAATTACAGGTTTTTTTGATTAAGGTAACTGAATCCTGCAAACAGTTAAAAGTAACAGTCTGCATGCAGCTAACAGGCAAGTGACAGCTACAGTATTTGCTCTTGGTAAAAATCAATCATTATGCTGTGACAGTGAGAAACTAAAAGCAACACAGAATATGCAATTATGGAAAGAAAGAATGCAGAGTCCTATGCCCAGACAGAGAGTGGAATCAAACTATAGAGAATTTAAGGAAATGTAAAGGCACTGGCACTACTGCCTTTCTTGCCCCATCTGTACCTTTGGGAAGAAGATAATAGCTAGCCTGATTTGTATTCCCACCCCTCCACACACACCTCTCCCTCGTAAAACCCTTTTGGTACAATGTGGCCAGTGATAATGTTAATGATTATACATCTCTCAAATTGTTTGTTAAAAGTTTGTGCTAGTGTTAAGTCATAGAAGGCTAAACATGGCGCTGGATGCCACTCACCACCCAAATCCATGAAAATATGTTTGTTAAGTTTGTTTGTGCTAGAAACAGAATTCTCCCGCTGATCTAGCGCTGGACTACACCGTGGGTTAGGTTGATATAGTGGAGTCTCTCAGGGGTGTGGATTTTTCATACCCCTCAGAGACGTAGCTATACGAAAGTAAATTCCTAGTATAGATCAGGCCTAAGTTAAAAAGCTGGAACAGTAAAACTCTTGTGCTAATTAACCAATATATTGCTGCACATAAAAGAAAAAGTAGAAAAAAAGGCAAACAAAATTCTTCAAATCCTTAGATAAAGAAAAGTATTGGTATAAAATGTTTTCTTTTTAACCTAGTTAATAGTTGTTGTTTTGCTGCAATAATTCAAAAAAAACAGGATTCTGGATGAACTTTAACTGTTATTAACTGCAGTTATTAACTCAGTTTTTTTCCCTCTGAGGCATCCACTCTATTCAGCTTATATGTTGTTTTTTTCTCTCAATAACCAACCGCTATAACCTTTTATATATTTCTCGCTCAGCTGGGTATGTTGAATTGTTCATTGTTATTAGTGTTTTGGAACACTAGTTCTACTTGTCTATCCTTATTGCTTTTATCCATATTGCTTATGTATATTCCATGTCACATAACCTTTTTTATTTTTGTTTTAACTTTTATTTGGGTTTTACTTGTGGTGCAACAAAAAATAATTTTGCTAATAACTATAATTATTTGTGATATGACACTTT